TCCAAAAGACCTTGGATGGAGACATTGAGAGCTGGGGGTTTCTCTTCCTTCCTTGCAAAGCTGTAATGAGGAATTACTTAACAATGTTGCCACCAAGCTCGACGTATCCTGCACAGCAGGGTGAAGCTGATGATAAGCACTGGCTCTGTCACCGTGGAGACAGAGCAATCCTCAAAGCCAAGTGACACAGGAAGAGAGAGATCACTGAATCAGACAGATTGAAGGAGGGATTCAGAGCCATTTTTTCAAGTGCCCCCATCAAACAACCTAAGTACTGATATTTTCTCTTTTTAGCTAACAATGACCTCTGTCTTCCCTTCTGCATTTTGTTCTATTTCACAATGAAAACCAGCAAAAAGGTTTAACTTCCCAGTTCTCGTTTTTCTGCTCAAGCAGTTCTACTTGGAAACTGTAGGCAAAAGGAATTCATGTATTTTTCAAGCAATGCAGAGTTGCTGATGAAGTCTGAAATATAATTCCAGGCCATTTCTACATATGGATAGTTGTAGACTCTTTGAAAGAAGAAACTCCTTTCTTGATGTATATTTACCCCTGTTTTCATCAGTGTCCTTTAAGTTACAGCGTTCCTCACCTAAAAAAAAAAACATAAATCTGCAAATTAGGGAAGGACAATGGCTTGTCTATCTTTTACTTCGATTTTTGTGCCTAAATGAAGCACAAAAGACTTTATATAATATATTATGCTGTATGGTATTTGTTTCTACTTTACAGACTCAGGAACACTACATCTCTTTATTCTTCTATGTCTCTCTTGACTGTATTTCTTGGAAAAGGGCATTGGAGTTGTTGCTGAGAATTTGATAGGTTTTGTGTTTAAAATGGACACATTTTCACAAAATTTCATCAGTCCAAAGGTATCTAAGCAGCTGAAATTAAATATATGTTCCCTTCTTCAATAGGCATCACTTTTGATACCTTCATAGACATATTTTTACTAGTTTTCCATTTTTCAGAGAAAAGTAGACCAGAAATAACAGGCATTTAAAAATTACAAACATGTCAATAAATCAACCTTTTTATAAAAAGAAACAACTGAGTCCATTTTTCCAAGTACTACAGGTGTCCCAAAATGACCAAATCCAGTGAAGCTTTTCCTTTGCAAGTCGTTTTTAAAGCACAAATTACCTTGTTACAACTGGAAGTATCATCATCATCATGACTACTTTGAAATCATAAAGCAGGTGACATGATCTACTGTGTTTGTTCTTGCTGTGCCTGCTTGGCATAAGCTTCCTAAAAGCCTCAGGAATTGCTCTGGGGATGAATTTGGCCTGCAGGGGTCTTCCATTTACTTTGATTTACTGTGGTCATTCAAAGCGTATTCTCATTTGAATGGTCAGGGATTTACACACATAGCTTCCATTAACACTAAAGGGTGATACCATTAAGATAAATGTACAGTTAATCTCTGGCACTGTGGAGATAAAAATATACCTCAGAGAGTGCACTGGCTGGGCTGGAAATATTCATTACCTGAGTTTCATTTCACATAATGAAACAACTTTAAACAGCAGCTTTATAATTTTACCACCCCAAGTCCTGTATTTCTTAGGAGGAAGGAGAGAAGAGAAAAGGGGGAGATATACATGGGAGAGACGGATGAAAATGAGATTGCTTTCTTTGAGCCCCAGCATGCAGACAGTGTTTCACTTGGATAGCAGGGAGGATAAGATGATTTTTGATCTCTTCCCCAGATCACTATCATGGCCGTATTGCCTATGAACACCATGGCACTTGCTGCTTTTATTTTAGTAGTGTCACTGTAACCCTTGGAGAGGGAGCTTCCTAATATTTCCCCCAAATTCGTGTCAACTGGTAGAATTATGTGGAATAAGAGATGACCATAGAAGAACTTACAATAGACAAAAGAATAGGGTCAGATGGCAGCCCAAATCTCAAGAGGCAGGAAGCATCTTTTCATTGATTTTCATCTACCTACAGTCCAGCAGGATTTAACATCAGTGGTGTTGCGTACTGTGTTGGGGTTTTTTTTTGGTTGTTTTTGTTTTTTTTTTTCCCCAAGAAAATATCTAAATAAAGAAACAATAACATGGAATTTCCCCAGAAAAGCTCTGGTGAATCATCCAGGAGGTTCAGATGAAGATCACATTAAAACCAGTAACAGAGGAGTGAAGGTTCTCATTCCAGGGATATTCAGCCTAATAGCTTGGTTCTTATTTCCTAAGCATTGGGTGCAAGAATTGAGTGCCAGTCCCTTCCAAAAAGGCATCTGACAGTGACAAATTCTATGCCAGTCTTTGTTTCATCCTGACAAGTCTCTCTTGAGGGTACAAACTGAGTGGTTTGTGGAAATAAAACACTGGCTCATATACTAAGATATCTTTCTCTCAGATGTCTTTGTCACCAGCTCAAACGACTCATTTTGCCATTGGGAATGTAAAAACAGTATTTGAAAAGCACATCTGTAATCTAACCCTATTCACCCAGTGCCCTCATGGTGCTCAAAACTCCCAGCACCTTGGGTTGTGACCACTGGGCAGTTAATTCACCACTAGCAAATGAAAGTGTGGCCAGCCTCATCCAGCAAATCATGGGCAGGGAGGCATACAGAGCCCAAAGGACTGTCTCACAGGTCTTCTCTCCAAGTCTTAAAGTGGCCCCCTGCATGGTGCAGTCCCTTTCCATGTTCTCCTAACTCAACATTATTTCTGATCTGTGGACCACCCTGCTGCAGAACACCCATAGCATGGCTAGATACCCAAAAGAATCAGTTAGGTTGTTAGACCATATCAAGCAACAAGAAACAGGTAGTGCCATGCAGTGCATGGAATAGTGACTTAATCCCTGATCTTGAGCAAGAAACTATCATTTTTTACCTTTTGCTTTCCCCCCTCACACTTTCTCTGCATCTCTTTTATAGCCAATATAATTCATTGAAACTAAACCAGAGGAAAACAACTTGTACATGTCTACACTAGGGTCTGGCACTTACATTTTTCTTGGTTGCTTTAGTGAAGCCATTTATATAGTAAAAGCCCAGAGACACCCTGATTCTGTCTGTGACTTTATTATTATATTGGACACTATGACACATTTTAAGTGGTTCCCTGTCTTCAGCCGTAACTGAATATTACATTTAGATAGCCCATTAGGTTCTCTCGCTATGGTAATATGGATTCTATATTTCAAACACCACTAAACAGTTTTCCATTCCTGTGGGTGAATCCAGGTTTGTAAATTTTGCTTTGCTGCACAATGTTATTCAACAGCCTGACCCAGTAAAACTCCTACAGATCTCACAAGACCCCTGGCAAAATGCAGAAGAGAAAATAGTCTGTGTAAACAGCAATTGCAAGCAATGAGGAAGAAGAAGCCGGGGGGATGAATGTGGTTCTCATTTAATTGCTTTTAAAGCTTTTTGCCATCTTTTTCTCATTTGCCCCCACCCCCCCCCCCCCCCCCGCCCAAGACCAGAATATCTTGCATGTAACAGAATCCGTTCTGATTAGAAGGTTTTGTTACAGCTGTAATAAGCTTTCACACAGAGGAAGTCCCCCGAGACCTATATTTCATCTCAACTTTCCCCACCGCATTAAACAGAGGGATTGATTCTGGAAAACAGAGATTGAAATTCTCTGTTCCTGCACTCAACACTGAGAAGTAATGAGAATTGACAATTCCAAGGCTCAATGTGAAACTAGCATGATCTGGACTGAAACTGCTTGTGTGATAACAGGTTTTGGGAATGTTTCCACTTTCATCTGTTTATTTATTATTCTTATTAATTATTCTTAGGCTTGTGATTTGGGGGAGAGAGGTTGGGAGGAGGAAGACAGGATAAAAAAAGGGAGTCAGTAGCTTGGCAGCACACAGTCTAAATCTAAACACCACACACACTCGCTATACCCTGGAAAAACCTGGATCTTATACAACAATTTCTGTAACAGCATCACTTGGATAAACCAGCAACTTGGAAGGAATCTTTGCTTTCCTAGAATTCATGTAACTAAGAGATAAAATGACCTTGAGGGATGGCAGCTTTCCTTGTAAAATACATTAACTCTTTCAGAGCAAGCCTTGATGAAGATCCTCTATCAAATCAGGGAGGACAGAAGGGTCTGGTTAAAGCCTGACAATAGGTCTTGCTGCACTTACATCACCAGGTTTCACATCCCACCTCAGTTCTGATGATTTAGTAGGGAGACTTTAAAAATCTCCGGTCAGCATCATCTGTGAGTGCTGACAAACTTAATGCAAACAGATTACTTGACCCATTTTTACTCATCCCCATTCAAATGACCTCAGAGCTGATGACTTTGACCCTCTTCATTGTCCTTTAAAATAAACTGGCAGCCAGGTTAGCACAAGGTCTCTCTCAAAGTGCTAGTCCCATGAATTGCTCTCTTGAACTATTTCTGTTCCCATGGTCTTGCAACAGTGATTTTTAAGAGGAAAGTGGGGAATGAGACAGTCAGGCAGCAACCAGTAAAATCTGCTGTGCAACTGCTTCAGGAACGATCAGTCCCGTGAAGAGCAGAACTGCCTGAGTATGGACTCTGGGGCATAATGTTATTTGGCTGGATTTTCTGGTGCTTAAAAATAGTGTTTTCCCGGCTGTAGCTTTTCCCTTCACAAGGTTTCTCTTCCCTCTACCCTAGTTGCCTATTTTCACAATAACAGTAGGAACACAATACTTCTTTTCACCCTCTGTCAGTTTTGATCAGCAAACAGATTCAAGGTTATTAGTGGGTGACTGACAGAGTGAAAGGTAATTCTTGTTAGCTTGAAAAAGAGTAAGGATGAAAATTTAAAGTGATCATGGAAGCAGCTCACTGGAATCATTTAGAAGGGATAGATAAAAGGGGCCACTTGGAAGGGAGAAGCAGCACAAGCTGAGGGCTGCATACTTTTTACTGGTTACTCTACACCCAGATGTTGTGTCTGTAAGGAGGACTGTTTCATGCTTCAGCATATTTCTATAGAGGTTGTGACAGCTTCCACTTTTCTCTCATTTTTAGGTGATGCTCTAAGACCAGGTGCTGCAAACCTTTTGGAATGAAAAAACTCCACGGAGACCCCTTTCCCAGAGTAGAGATATCCCAGCTGTTCTCAGACAACACTGGCATCCACGTTCCCTTAAGTTTGTCACCCCTTTTGCTCAGAAATGAGGACTTTCCTCCTTTCCTCCCTTCCTTCTACGCAGTCCTGGGTTTCACTAAGAGCTGGCTGCATTTCACTGTCAACTGAGCTGAACCACAGGGATGAATATTCCCTTCTGCTTCATCAAGAAAAAAATACTTAAGACATCAGAAGCTGGCTGCAGAAGAAATCTGGCTTTTCTGTGTATTCTTCAGCTGTCATCTCTCTGGAGAAGACCATTTAATAAAGCTCCAGCAGGACCTCTGAAATGACAGGAAAGAAGGGTTTACCTGGTCAGCCCTTTCCCCTGGTTGAGCCTGTAGCTGTTGGTGAGCAGTTCCCCAAGATGCTGCAGCTTCATCCATTTCTCTGCAAAGAGAGAGAAGTGTTAAAATAAGAGCAGCCGATGGAAAAGCAGCCAAGAGCTAGATGTGCAGGGAAGAGGGGAGAGATGTGGCTCTCCCATCATTTCCATGTTAGGGGTTTGCATGGCTAGAAAATGGAGAGACAGATGGATTGCATATCCCCTTTTTCACTCCCCCAATCCTATCAGAAAGGTGAAAGAAAGAGGCCTACAAAGCAACAAAGTAGTGATTTAGCCAGGACAGGATCTTGTGTATCAACTCTGCAAGGGCTCATACAAATACACACACCTTTGGCTGCTGGAACCTGTTTGAAAGCCAGAAGGAACATGAGCCAGAAGACCAGGTCACCCCCCAGAAAAATCCCAAATATGAAAAAGAGCCCAAAACCAACAACAAAAAGAAAGAAATAACACACAGCCCTCCTCCAAAATAACAGCAGAATCAGCTCCATGACAGCCCCACCAGGGAAGAATTTACCCTCATGTAATTAATCCCCCTTTGCAAGAGTTGCCAGCAGGGATCTCAGATTAAAATCTCTCTCTCCTCCAATAGGAAGCACCTCCAGGAGCTCAGCATCTTCCCTCCCTTCCCCACAGCATGAAGCACCAGTCCAAGTCCCAGTGTGAGACTTGAACCTGCAGTGACCTCCTGAGCCCTGCAGTGAAGGATGTATTAGCCAATGAGTCATGTTGACTCTGGCTTGAATCTAAATGGGCCTCTTCTCTCATACCAGAGAAACCACGTCCACATAGCCATGGATGATGCTTGTATCGGATAACTCCTATTGCAAGAGCTGGGTGGTGCTTGTTGCTGTCATCCTTGCCTGGATGGAAAGGGTGAGCAATGGGGTGGGGATGTTAAAACCCAGTTACTCCAGAAGTTTCATCCTCTCTGTAATTTAGAATGCAGAAGAAATTGTCATCCAATTTGAACAGCAGAGACTAAACCAGACCTCTGGTTATGAAACATGACTTCTGTTTCCCTGTGGGTGGCCTTTTCTTTGCAGGGAGAGAGCATAGAATCACAGAATGGTTAGGGTTGGAAAGGACCTGAAGATCATCTAATTGCAAACCCCATGCTATGGGCAGGGGTGCCTCAGACTAGTCCATGTCACCCAAGGCTCTGGGTCCAAGATCAAGTGATTGCTGCTTGTGTTGAGTTACAGCTTTTTGAGAGGTCACTTTTTATACCCTTGTGTGAGTATCCTGTACAGAGGAAACTTCCATTTTTTTATACGCCACCATGAAGGTACATTTAGGCCTTCCAAATCACCTCCCGCTGTGGGCTAGATAGCAGAGCTGGTGGCCCCTTTTGCTTACTTCTCTATGCTCCTTAGAGACACCAGCCACTTGGGATATCTGCATCCCCTCTGCAGGTACTGGTTGAATGAAGCTGGAGCAAAGTGCGAGTGAACAACCAGCAGCCCTTCACGGAAATCCTAGGAAGGGAGAGTAAGAGTTTATGACCAAATCAGCTGGTGACATTCCTGGACCACAGCTGGTAGGCAGCAGCTTTCAGATGACAAGATGAAGTAAAGCCTCCCAGCCATAGATGCTGTGTGAGGGTCTGTGTCTCACTGAGCAGAAGGAGGGAAGGTTATCTCCTGGCAGGATACCAACTTGACATTATGTAGAAGGGATTTACCCACTACTGAAAAGCAGCCTACTCTCAGCTGGATGTTGCAGCTGGTCAGGACATTTGAACACACTTCACTTGAGGTGCTCAGGTGGTTGAAAGTTTAATGCAAAATAACACTCCATGTCTGGGTAGGGCATTCGGTATCCAGCTGTAGTGTAAGTACAGGCTGATGAGCTCCAGTTACTCATGCTGATATTTCCCAGGACGCTGACTATTTCAAACAGAGGTCATCCTTTGCCTGATTCTCTCTATCTGCCTGATAACCAGCAGGATATTTGTGCAAGAATATTTTTCTTTTGCCTGCCTGCTTGTCTTCCTTTTGCAGCTGAACAAAGAGAGCATTGTTTTCAGGATATCAAACTGATTTTGCTTTGATGGGCTTAAATTACCAGCTATGTATCAAGGGAAATCTATATCAGCCAGACCAACACCTCCTTTCTTAGTTCCCGCTTCCAGCCACCTCCTGCCTCCCAAAAAACATGTCAACATCTACTCACAAACTCTCATGCAATTCTGAACCCTCACTGATGCTCTGTTATCCATTGACATCCCTAATGGTCTGCAAGGAAATGCAAATTTGTATTGATAGGAAACCTGAGAAAGCAACAGAGAGATTTACTGGTCAGGAAAACACTAGTTTTTCCTTTCCTTATTCATATTGTGGTTCCTTGTGCTGTCATGTAATACAAATAACACTGATGGCATTAGCCTGTACTTAGAATAAATGCTTCCTGTGGTTCTTACATAGCTCCATTTCATCATATAGCACCTGAAAGAAAAAAAAATAAAAAACACAAAAAGGAAGGAAAAACTCGTTCATTGCCTCCTGTACTCTACCTATGCACGTTTGTCCTGCAGACATGAGTGTGTGGGCTGAACAGCTGTAATTCTGGTTTCTGTGTACTGTGCCTTTAAATACGAGTAGGCAGCCTGCCTGTAGGGCTGGGAGGGTGTAAATCTGGAAAGGCATTTAAGAGAAAGAGTTACCTTTTGCAGTGTCATTCCTGCAGGAATGTGCCAGACAGAGCAAACTCAATGGGAAACAGTCCTCCAACCTGAAACCCAGGTTCAGCATTTATCCAGAGCAGGCAAAATCAGGTAAACCTCCCAGCCAGGGCTGTTCTCTGAGGTCTCTTCTCCAAAGGCTGGCTCTGCTGAACCAGCCAGTTGGATGACCCTGCCTAAGGCCAGCTGTTTCTGCAGCCAGGAGCCCTACAGTGGAACAGAGTGCTTAACACCATGAGCAGATCCTTCTAAGAATGACCACTGACAGCCCAGCTAGTGGGTCTCCAAAGCACATTACAGCCACATCCTTCATGTTGACCTGAAGAAAGTACCAGTCTGGCCAGGGCTGCTCTGCTGCTTCCTGCCACACACACACACACACACACACACACACACACACACACCCTTTGTGTTTTGCAACTTCATTCCATAGGTGCCAGGGAGTCTCCCGCAGATGTTCTGAGACAGCAGTCCCTGAGGAGGTTAGATGTACACCACAAGGTGAAGAGCAATTTGAGGACAGAATTAAGAACTCTATAGCTTATAGCTTCATCAAACTGTTGGCTGCAGCTTAAGTTTAAAATGCCTGGGTTTAGACAGGCTAAACTTGGAATAACTCTTGATGGGATGGACTGTAGCCTAAGGCATCATCTACAATTCCCATTTGTGCAGACACACGTGGACAAGAGCTCAGGCCCAGTTTAAGGCAACAAACAAGTTCCTTCCCTGGCAGTAAGCCTATGTCCATGCCTACGCTCATTGGCCTGGTCCCATGCAAACATACCACAGTGGTTCCATAGACACTGCTCTTTAGAAGTTACACTGAGTTCCTCTTACTTTGTATGATTTCCAAGCTCTTTATACCCATGCTATCATTTTCATTTTTCTTTTTCTTTCCAAATGGAGAAGACAGATTTGTCCAGAATCCAGCAGCAAGCCAACACCAGAACTAGGAGAGCAACCCAGCTGTTCTGACTCCATTGCCACAGGCTTTGTCTGCTAGACAGAAGTGCTGGTCATGTTTGAATAATGACTTTATCTCTGTTCGACTAGTCAAATCCCAAAAGTGAGTCATTTTGTTCCACCATCTCCTCCATGATTTTCAATGGATTTCTGCATATGTCTCCAGGTGACATGAGCAGTTACCTGTAACATCAGATATTTTGGGTTTCATTTGTTGGGGTTTGGGGATTTTTTTTTTGCAGTGACTGCTAATGACCATGCTCTATATAAACCAGGAATGACATCAAGAAACTGCCTTGTTACGTTCATTATGAGATTTGGACATATATTTGGAATTGGTCTTCACACAGAAGTCAATGAGGGACAGAAGACACTAGATGGTCTTGGTTACTCAGTGCTTTGGTAATATGGTTTAGGCCTATCTGCAGGAGAAAACACAGCCACGCTAGATTATCTAGTTGACTCAGTTAAAGAATTAGCCACAGTGTAAATCTCTCTGTTCCTTTCAGCTCACACGGAGGGAATCAGAGTTGTGTCATTGTCGACAGAGGACTCCAAGTACAGTTTGCTGGAGTGGATGTCCAAGTGGAAACCAGTGGTGAGTGGAGTTCCTCAGGGGTCAGGACTGGGACCGGTTCTGTTCAATATCTTTGTTGGTGACACGGACAGTGAGATTGAGTGTTCCCTCAGCAAGTTTGCTGACAACACCAAGCTGTGTGGTGCAGTCAACATGCTGAAGGAAAGGGATGCCATCCAGAGAGATCTTGGCAGGCTCAAGAGGCAAAACTTCCTGAAGCTCAACAAGGGCAAGTGCAAGATCCTACATCTGGGTAGGGGCAATCCTAAGCACAACTACAGGCTGGGCAGAGAATGCATGGAGAACAACCCTGAGGAGAAGGATTTGGGGGTGTTGGTTGACAAGAAGCTCAACATGAACCAGCAGTGTGTGCTCGCAGCTCAGAAAGCCAATCATATGCTGGGCTGCATCAAAAGGATCATGACCAGCAGACTGAGGAAGGTGATTTTCCATTTCTACTCTGCTCTTGTGAGACCCCACATGCATTCAGCTCTGGGATGCGCAGCATAAGAGGGATATGGACCTGCTTAAGCGAGTCCAGAGGAGAACCACAAAGATGATCAGAGGGCTGGAACGTCTCTACTATAAAGAGCTGGGCTTTTTCAGCCTGGAGAAGAGAAGGCTTAGGGGAGACCTTCTAACAGTCTTCCAACACCTACATGGTGTCTGCTCTGGAAGGGAATGCTACTTATAAAGAATTGTGCCAGTGGTTTTTCAAATGCCTAAGAAGACATTTGCCAAAGTACGGTGAGTGATAGTTTAGGAAGAGAGAAAAGAGGGAAATGACACATTAGTTTTGCTCTTTTTCACAGACAAGGACCTTGTGGATGAAATAATTTCCCCCCAGGATAATCCTGTAAAGAGGGAAAGCACCTAGATATTCTTTTTTATAGTTCCCTGTCAAACTCACAGAGACAATCCAAGAACATGGTAATGTCATACTTGTCATGACTTGAATGGCAGCCCCTTCTTGCATATCATGAGCTCAGTTCTTCATGTGGGGTCACACCTCCAGTTGACCTTTATGAGTGGGATTGTGAAGAGAGGAGGTAATGGATTTTGGAGTGCTTTACCTCAGAAATTGCCAGGCTAAATCCAGTTCATACCTAGAGGTGCTGAAAGTGGTTAGCATCTGAGGGCTGCTCAGCCAATCACTGTTCCCTGGTC